GCCAGCAGCTTCCTTCTCCCCAGGGCAGCTGGTCAGTTCCACTTGTCTTCACTGTTGCGATCAAAGCAGCGAGGGGCACAGGTGTGCGTGTGTGTGTGTGTGAGCATGCATGTGTGTGTGCGTGTGTGTGTGCGCGCGTGTGTGAGCACGCATGTGCTCATGGATCTGCAGGTAGATTCCTGAGATGGCTGCATCGCTGGACGCCAGCCGAGGCCAGGGCTCGAAGCACCAAAAACACACCTGAGCCTGACGCAGGACCATAGCTCTGCCGTGGGTGGGGTGCAGCGTGGTTTCTGGGTGACACAAAGTGACACGGATGCCGAATTGAAGGCCAGCAGCTTCCTTCTGGTTTTCCCGGCTTTCCTGTTTGCGCGAGGTGAGTGTGAGTGTGTGTCTGAGTGTGAGTGTGAGTGAGTGTGTGTCCCTAGCGCCCACTCGGATGCCTGCAGGACAGCGCCTCGGGAGGTCCCCGCCTGCCGCAGGGGGCGCCCACGCGGCTCCAGCCGGAGCAGGGCGGAGGTCGGTGGCCCCGGGGAGACTCTGCTCGGCCCTCGCTCGCCCCCTCCGCTCGCCGACAGATGGCAGTGTCCGGGGCAGGAGGGCTGCGGCGGTCCTGGAGGGGCTGAGCGCCTGCCCGCCGGGAGCGCACGTCCAGGGAGGCCCGCGGACGTCTGGGGCCCCCGGCCCGACACACCCGCACGCCACCCCTCGGGCCCTGCGTTCCCACTGGCCACCTTCTCAGTTCACACTCACACTCATGCCACACGCGTGGGCACACTCATCTTGACTCGCTCACCCCTGCCCCCCGCACACGCCTGGCAACACACCAGCACACACACTGCCCTCTCCACCAACCTGGATCTCACCGCACACACGTGCACCGCTCACCCCCACTCACACCCCCCCACTCACACCCACCCATTCTCTCTCCACACGTTCCTTACACGCTCATGCAGTGCACACTTCCGTCTGTCACACGCACACCGCTGGTGTGTCCCCTGCCCCCATTCAGGCCGCAGTGAATGTGAGGATGAGAAGAGTCTGACCCTGGCCTGCCGCCTGCGCCTCTCCCCTCTCCCCACCCCTCTCCCCCCCTCCCCTCCCCTTTCCCCTCTCCCCTCTCCCCACTCTTCTCCCCCTCCCCCCTCTCTCCACTGTAGCCTTCTACAACCTCTAAGCTGACCAGCGTTGGGGACTCCTAGGACATCATCACAATTCATACAGAAGTGTACAAGAGCACCCACAGGTCCTCCTCCGGCCCTGGGGCAGCAGTGCCCCCCCCTGCCCACCCCAGTCCTTCCAGGGCTCCTCAGACCTGCAGCATCCTCCACCGTTTCACCCAAGGGACACTAGGAGGACACTGTCTCTCCCTGCACGGGTTTGAGCCTGGCCGCCTCACCTGTCCATTGAGCTCAAGGTGATTGCACATAAGGCCTGTTTTGCTGGCCCTGCACGGTCCTGTGTGACGGTCACTGGTCCCATATGGCCATGGATTCTGCCTCTCTGAGGTCCAGTCATGTTTCAGGTGCTCAGCAGCCACACGTGGCTGTGTCCACCACACTGGTACCACAAGCCACCCACTTCCATGTCTGCAGCAAGTTCTTCCGGCTACCGCTGCTCCGGCCCTCACCTCAACAGTCCCCAAACACTCCTGCAGACACATGGTTGTGCATTAAGTTCACAGACATGGAACAATCCCTGTATGGCCCAGGGAGCTCCCCAGGCAGGGGCTGAAGTGAAATAGGGCCCAGGCAACCCTGGCCTGCAGTCTCCCTGGCCAGGAGCGGGGCCAAGCAGGAGTGGAGGATTGGGAACCCCGATCCTGGAGACAGAGAGGCCCCTCTCCAGTGCCATCACCTCTCCCATCTCCCACCGAGATTTGGGTTCGGCTGCCACCCGGCATTTCAGAAAGAATGAGTTTTCCAGCAACGCGGTTTAAGAGAGACTGAAAATCATCTTGTGTGGTGGATGCGGGTCTGCACGCAGCAGTGTGCCTGGGGTACTTGACACCCAGGGTCCATATTTTTTTTTAACCCCTCCTGCTTTACACAATAGTATTTTCAGTAATTATTGTGTTTTCAGTTAGTTTTAATACAATTAACAAGTAAAAAGAAGAATGCATTTCAATTTTAAGGATGTTGTTCTCAATACAAAATTCCATGATAAGAACTAAGATTTTCAATTTCCAAACAAAAACAGCACACCTCGCAGGCTTTTCCCACTTCCCTGTTTGACCCCCGACATAGATTCCTGTCTTTCTTTAGAGCAGGAATAAAAGTGCACACAGGTCAACACACAAGCACACAGGTGCGCATATAATAGCTTGTCAAACATACACATTACACGTGCAAAGTCAGACCTCAACCCCGAGCTTCAGGCTGTCCTTCCAGGAACCCCACCTCACTTAGGACCAGCCAGGACCTCGGATGGCCAAGCAGGCAGAGGGGCAGTTCTCTGGTGACTCAGCTTCCATTCATGGGGGACAGGTTCAGCCTGCTCAGCCTGTGCCGACTCTCCTCCCCTCCCCGGCAGCCTTGACCTGGCACCTGGTGGGGAGGTCTCGGGACGCCCCTTCTGGCCCTGCTGCTCGCTGACCTTCTCTCCATGTGACCACTGGGCTCAGGCCAAGTCCCACAGGCCCATCAGCCCCACCTGAGCAGGACCCTGAGCAGGGGACAGAGAACGTCCCTTTGTGCCTCCAGGAGGGACAGCTTTCTGCAGGCCAGAAGCATCCAGGGTCTTGCTCACCTGGGCTCCAGGTCGCAACCTGGGGAGTTGTGTGGGAGTAGAGCCCTCTGAACCTGTCCCCCATGAATGGAAGCTGAGTCACCAGAGAACTGCCCCTCTGCCTGCTTGGCCATCCGAGGTCCTGGCTGGTCCTAAGTGAGGTGGGGTTCCTGGAAGGACAGCCTGAAGCTCGGGGTTGAGGTCTGACTTTGCACGTGTAATGTGTATGTTTGACAAGCTATTATATGCGCACCTGTGTGCTTGTGTGTTGACCTGTGTGCACTGAAGCAGGACCCTCTGCCAGGGATTAGCTGCTCCCCACAGAGACCCTGGGTCCTGGGAAAGCCCTGGGGCAGGTAGGAAGTCCGTCCAGAGGTCTGCAGCCCTGCGCACATCCGACCTCCAAGGACAAACAACTTGTGCCTTCCCAGGGTTGGTCTTCCTGCTGCCGAGGTCACACCTGCCCACAGAGTACAGGGGAGGGCCTTGGTGGCATGCACTCAGGGAAAGGGTCCGGGCTCCCAGGACTACACACCATCTGACTGTGTATATGGCATTCGTGGGGCAGGGTCCCCTGGTGGCAGGGGAAGGGCACAGGGGACTTCCTTGGGTGACAGGAATGTTCTAATCTTGGTTGTGGTTGTGGCAGGAGGAGGGTGGATTTCAGTGTGCAAATTACACCTCCACGAATCTGGCTGAGAGAGATTGCACTTGGAATTTATTAGTGCAATGTTGGTGAGAACAAAAGTCAGGAAACATCTGGGATGCCTAGCTGTGGGGAATGGTCAAATAAATAACAGTACATCTGTACAATGGAGCACTACACAGCCACTAAAAAGGAAGAGGTGGATATTTACATCCTGAAATTGCATAGTCCATCCCCAGGAGCTACTATTATATGGGAAAAGCATGTGTGGTAGTGGTGGTGCTATGTGTACACACACTTATACATGTATAGAATATTTCTAAAAAAATCTGTAGTCACATCTGGGGAGACTGACAGTAGTCAAGGATGAAAAGAAAACCTAAATTTCACTTTAGACTCTTAAATTTATTTTTTGTTGTTGTTGTCAATGGACCTTTATTTTGTGTATTTTTATGTGGTGCTGAAAATTGAACCCGGTGCCTCACACATGGTAGGCAAGCGCTCTACCACAACCCCAGCCCAACTTTACACTTGATATTGCACCCAGAAATTTTTACCATAAGAGTTTCACGCTTACAAAGTACCCCAAACCTTTTGGCCCACTTCTTGGATCCCTCTGTGGGATGTCCTGCCTTAAAATATCCTGCAAATAAGTGCTGTAGGCACTGGGGACTCCGGAGTCTGCTGGCTTTCCTTAACCCACCCTGTAAGTTAGCAGTGTTGTAGGTTCACTGAGGAAAGAAAACAGATTGGCATATGTAAAGCATCAGTACCCAGCAGGTGCTTAATAGATGCTTTTTCTCCTCACCCTCTCACCTTCTGTCATACCCACTCCACACTGAATGTCCCCCAAACCCACGGGCCAAGAGCTTGGTCCCTAGCAGGCCACTGTTGGGAGGTGGAGAAACCATTAGGAGTTGGGGCCTAGTGGGAGGTACCTAGGTCATTGGACGTGTGCCCTCCAAGAGGACTGAGGGGCCTGAGTCCCTTCTCTTCCTCTCTATTCCTGGCTCATGATGTCAGTGGTATTGCGCCACCACGTGTTCCTGCCACGGTGCTCTGCCTCCTCAGTGGCCCACTGCTCATCAGAGACCCAAAACAATGGGCATCCAATCATGGACTGGAATTCCCCAAACCATGAGCCCAAATAAACCTTCTCTCTTAGAAGTCCATGATCTCAGGTATTTTGTTATAGCAACGGAAAACTGACTGATGCATCTACTAAGAAGGAGCATTTGAGGGTCAGAGTCCCCTCTGCTGCATTCCCAAAGGTGGGAAAAGCCCCACAAATCAGCAGTCCTCCTGTCCCATACCTGCACATTTTGTTGCTGTACCCAGAGTCAAGAGTGGAGAGAGATTCTTGGTTGGGGGAAAATGCTGTTTTAGAGCGAGGAATTGAGTACTTTTTCTGGAACAATAAAGCATCTCATTTTAGTTTCCAGTCCATTCATTCAATAGTATGCTGGATGCCAGGGATTTAGTGATGGGCATAGTTTCTGCCTCATGGTGCTCAAGCTGAAGCCCCATCATATAATTCATGAACAACAAAACTTACTAGTGGGAAGCTCTATGGGTTCTATGAGTTTTGACTTATAGAGTTGTATCATCTCCTCCCTAATCAGGATATAGAACACTTTATCAGTCCTGCCCCCAATTTTCTCACGCCCCTTGGTGACCCACGCTCCTGCCACCTTGCCCTCCAGCAATGAATGAGTGGTCTCCTGTCCATATGGATCCGTCTTTGCAGAATATCACCAACGAAACCACACGGGCTGTCGTGTTTGAACCTAGCTACTTAGCAGAACAGGTTAAGGTTGATCTTTGTTGTGAGTACTGTTGCTAAGTGGTATCCTACGTATGGGTGGACCATTTTGATGCCATCTTGGGGACAAAGAAAGAAAGAAAAGAACTTTGACCAAACTGACCTTGAGTGGGTCCCTTACTGGAGCGAACGACATTAAATTCTCTCCCTGGGCGTAGTTAGGTCTGGAGAGACAGAGGTAGTGGTGACAGAAAGAGAGACGTGCCCTCTCTTGCATGCCCCAATCTGTGGATTGTGAGACTCATAATCCCTTTGGTGACTGATGGATTAGTTTAGATTTGGACAATAGGGACCCCACTGACCTGAAAGAGAGCACAGGCTGGGCTCACAGCCCCTGTCCCCAGGCTTTATGACACCACTGCTGAGTCATAGAGGTCCTGCCAGCCCCAGTGAAGCCCTCTCGCGGTTCCTGCTGATGCTGGAGCCCCTTGGGCAGAGTTTGGCCGCCTGGTGCCCATGGGGGAGGATGGAGTTTCTCGGAACCTCTCAGGCCGCCAGCTACTGTGGCCCCAAGAAGCCCTGCGCCTTGATGGCGCCGCCCGAGGCTGTGCAGAGCCCGGCCGTCCACGAGTGCTACCCGCCCTACCACCTGCCCGGGTACCGCTACCTCAACTCGTGGAGACCCAGCCTCTTCTACCAGGTCTCCGACGGCCAGGCCTGCCCGGATGAGTGTCGCCGCAGCCCCCTGCGCCCGCCCACCATCCTGCCCGCGCTCGGCTCCGCGCTCTTCTGTCGCTACAGTGCCCAGGACTGGGACCAGGCCACCCAGCTGCAGCTGCGGGGCGCCGAGGCCTCGCGCCTGTGGGCTGGCCGGCTGACCGGCGACACCAGGAGGCTCATGCAGGACAAGGACCAGCTGACGCGCCAGATGCAGGAGGGGATGTCCCGGGACCTGGGCCAGAGACTGACGGACATCGGCTTCTGGAAGTCGGAGCTGTGCTACGAGCTGGACAGGCTTCTGACCGAGAACCGCAGCATGGACACCCTCAAGAGGCGGCTGGAGCGCGGCGCCGAGGAGCTCAACTGTCCGCTGCAGGTGAGGGCCCGCCCCGTCGGCACCGCACCCTCCTCCCCCTCGACCGCGGGTCCAGGTGACAGGCACCGCAAGGGGGTGTGCGCTGCGCCCATGTTGATGACCGCACCTTCAAGGTGAAACAGTGGGTTCAGGATAAGCTGAAGGGAAGACTCCTCGGGCCGAACGGGGTTCCATCCGGGGGGCGGGGTTCCGCGGAGACCCGTGCGCGCCGACGCCCCCTGCGCAGGTGCGGAGGTGGTCCACCTGGCCAACGGCTTCCGAGGACTCGCCTGAAGTCGCGCTTGCGCTTCCTCCCTGCCGAGGACTCGTGCCACGCCCTACACTTCTCCTTGGTGGATTTCCACCTGCAGGGCGCGTGGGCTCCACCAGGCAGGGCTGGTCCCCCGTGCGCGCACCTACCCCAGACCCACCATCCGTGCAGCCCCCTGTGTCCTGCAGGCCTCAGTGACCCGGGTCCCTGCCGGCTGTTGTCCAGGTCAGCATTCTGAACGCACGCCCAGCCGAGGGCGGAGAGTGGCACCCACTAGGCACTCGGTAGACAGCGGTTGAATAAGTGACGAGGTGACCCATGGTGGGCTTGCCCGACCCCTCCTTGGCCTCGGTCCGTTCCCGGGCCGTTCGGGTTGCTCTGGGCTGCAGCAGCAGGTGCCCGGGGCGTGGCCCAGCCCCGCAGAACTGCAGAGGGAGACAGATCCGCCTGCAGCCCTCCACCTGATGGCTGGGACCAGGCTCTGTCTTAACACTCTGCCGTCAATGGCAAATGGAGTTCTAACACTTCCTGTTGCAGGCTCCTGCCTGAGGGGAGCCCTGTGGTCCTCTCCTGGAGGCCAGAAACGGGGTGGGGAGAAGGCGACGGTGCAGCTGTGTCCCCTGTCATCAGGAGGAGGTTCCCAGAAGGCCCTCGTGGGTTGGCCTCTTCAGCCCATTTGCAGGGGCTCCCTGGCTGCAGAAGAGTCTGGGAAATGACTGCTTTTCTCTGCTCCTGGAGAAAGGCGTGGAAGGGGTTGGGTGGACGTTGGGTGGGGAACCGGTAGCTCCTGCCTCATGCTGTGGAAACCATCTTGGCGACACGGGACGGGGATCTGCTTTCCCTGGACATTCCAGAGACCCAGGGCCTCCTGCCTGGAAGCCTCCTACAGCTGTTCTGCCCCGTTCTGTGCAGGACCCGTGGTAGGAGAAGTCCTGCCTTGAGATGCCCGAAGAGACTCGGCAGCATGTCTCTGGGACTCCCAGCCCCATTAGGGGAAGGTGTCCAACGTTGCCTTCATCTGCTGGCTGGCCCCTCAGGAGAGGGGTGGGCAGGGCTGCTCCTCACAGCCCCACAGCAGCGTCCACCACCTACTGCCCCCCTCTCCTGCTCCCACTCCCCAGCATGTCTGCAAAGCCCAGCTCTGCCTGGTCCCATGTGACCCCTTTGATCAGCCCTACGGAGGCCCAGGGATGGGGGCATCTCGGTCTCTCCACTTCTCTCCGTCCCCTGGCTGCCTTCAGCCGGGCAGCCTCTCACTGGACATGGACATAACTACTTCCTTCCCGGTCTTCCACCTCCTGCTCCCGTCCAACCCATCCTTCCCCCCCCCCCAGCAGCCAGAGGGTGACTTCAAATATTAAAGTGAGTCTTATCATTCCTCCACTGGCTCCCTGGATGGAGTCCCAGAATCTAACACCCAATTCCTGAATTCCTCTTCCCTCCCCCGTGACCTTGCCCCTGCTTCTGCTCCAGCCTCACTTTCTCCAGTTCCAAGGGCTTCCTGTCTGTGCATTCTGTGGCCTCAGGGCCTTTGCACCTGCAGCTCCTGTTTCTTGCCCCATGTCTCCACTCATCTCTGCACTCTGCTTCTTATGAGCAGTCTCTCTGTCTCCTCCCTAGAGAATTCCTCCCTGAGCCCTGCCCATCCACATCACCCCAGTCATTTGCATCACCGCCCTTATCCCAGGTGGAGATGATCACATTCCTTCAGCTGTGTCCTTTCAGCTGGGTTGAAATGCACAACCAGCCTGTGAAAGATGCACCAATCTCACGCTGATCGGCAGATGAGGAGACCGAGGGTCAGAGAGGCTGAGTGACTTGCCCCAGTGCACATGACAGGAAGGGACGAAGCCTGGATCTAAACTTATGACAGAGCACACATGGAGGATAGCAGCTGATACTGTCTTATCTGAGATCATAGTGACAGCTGCCATATCCATTATTGTAGCCGGGAAGGCTGGGGACAGCTTGTGGAGATTATATCTCAGTCACCACTGGTTCCTGGGACACTGCCTTATCCTGCTTTCTCTACATGGGCCCTGCATCTCCTCACGCGCTGGCCTCGGCACCCCACAGTGCCCACTGAGGGAGGCAGAGCCCTCCAGAGGCCTCTGTGAGGCCCTATGAAATACCAGGTTTCTCAGAGGAACGATGGGATCCCAGCCAAGGTCCTGTGTGTCACTGAGCTCAGGGTCAATGTCCAGCCCCGGGAAGAAGACACTCTTTCCTGATCTCCCTGCAGGTGGCCCTGGAGTGTCTCTACCATCGAGAGAAAAGGATCGGGATTGATTTGGTCCATGACAGCGTGGAGAAGAACCTTATCCGGGTGAGGGGTCTCCCGGGCCTACCCCCCCCAGGGAGTGGGCAGGGCAGCCGGTCGGTCCACGTCTAGGAGGAAAGACTTTGGTCTCAGAGGCTGCTGTCCACTGCGCTGCTGCATAGCTGCTAGGTCTGTGGGGAGCAGACATCATGGCGGAGGGGCCCCGCAGGGCTTTGCCCCCAGCTCATGGTGGCCAGCAGGAGGAGGAGGAGGGGGAGAGGGGGCGAGGCAGAAAGGTACTGGAGACAAGATGTGGGGGTCCACCTTCCAGGGACTCACCCCCACTGACCTCCTTCCTCCCACGAGGCCCCATCCCCCACGTTCCCACCATCTCGTTAAATCATGAGCCTCTCAGCGATCAGTTCATGGATGGGGCCAGAGCCTCATGATCCCGTCACCTCCCGCCTCTGAACACGGCTGCCCTGGGGACCAAGCCCTCTGCACCAGAGCTTTGGGGTGATATTCCGTATCCAGACCACAACGTGAAGTTCCTTGGCCCCCGGGCTCCTCATTTCCAAGTTGGGTACAATAATAATTCCACCAAGAGCAAAAACCAAAGCTAGTGTTTCTCCAACACCTGCTGCGCGTGCATATCGGACTTCAGACTTCTTCATGGGCATTATTTAATGATCATATGTACTGGTGAGCTCCCGTCACACAGTATGTGCTGGGTCTTATTTTAATCCAAAAGCAAATAGAAATGAAAGTAGGGCGGGGCAGGTGGTGCTCTGAAGCTGGCCCCTGGCTCTCACCTGGGGGCAAGGAGGGTGGGGTGCTGGAGGGGCGCTCTGACCCAGGGAATTTCTGACCCGGTCCACTCTTTCTGACCTTTTGTATTTCAGGAAGTAGATTTGCTAAAATGTTGCCAAGAACAGATGAGACAATTAGCTCGCCAGATCGACATCCAGATGCGGTAGGCCCCACTCTGTGACTTCCAAGTCACCAATTCCCGTGGTGCACAGGCTGGTTTTAAGATCTGGCCTGAGATGTGCAGGCTCAGGCCATCTTGTGAGTGGCCTGTTTGCAGTGAGGCCCTGGTGGAGGTCAGCAGCCTCCCCAAGGCCAGTCCTGTCACCTCCCAAGCAATTCGGGGAGCCAGCAGAGTGTGGGTGGCATGGGCAGCTAGGTGAGGGATGGGCCCTCTGGAGGAGCTGGAGGAGGCCTTCAAAAGGAGTCAGCTTTTTGTTCTTGGAAGATGACGTAACCAGTGTCATGAAAGGCCAGGCCCCTCTCCTGATTAAAGGGAGGCTGAGATTTACGGGGCTTGGGGCCCATGGCCGCTTCCAGAACTCAGGCTCCCCACCTGGCCCTGGGCGGGCGCTCACCTCTGACTCTCTCAGGACTGCTGGTCAGCTGGCTTTCCCTCTTCACTGACGTTGTTTTAGGGGGGTGGCGGTACTGGGGACCGAACTCGGGGGCACTGACCACTGAGCCACGTCCCCAGCCCTACTTTGTATTTTACTTAGAGACAGGGTCTCCCTGGGTTGCTCAGTGCCTTGCTTTTGCTGAGGCTGGCTTTGCACTCACAGTCCTCCTGCCTCAGCCTCCCGAGCCGCTGGGATGACAGCACTGGCTGTTCTAGTTTCCACTCCCACCAGCGGTGTGTGAGGGCTCCCTTTTCCCCCAGCCTCCCCAACACCATCGTCTCTTTTTGAGAACAGCTATTCTAACAGGGAGGAGGTGAGACCTCTAGAGGGTTCTAATATGCATTTCTCTGATGTTGGATATGTTTTATGACCCTATTGTTTATTTACATGCCTTCTTTGGAGAAATGCTTCCTCAAATCCTTGGCCAATTTTTAAATCGGTGTGTTTTCTTGCTGTTCCGTTGTTGAGTTCCTTATGTATTTTTGGATATTAACCATCTATCAGGCGTGTGGTTTGCAAACACTTTTCTCTTTGCTCAGTTGATCGGTTTCTTTGCTGTGCAGAGACTTTACAGTTGGATCCAATCCCATCTGTCTGTGTTGGGTTTTGTTACCTGAGCTGTTGCAGTTATATCCAAAAAATCACCTCCCAGACCCGAGACTCGGGCTGTGCCGGTTTTCTCCCAGTAGTTCTACAGCCTCTGATCTTACATCTCAGACAGTTTTGAGTTGATTTTTGTACACGTGTGAGGTAAGGGTCTGAGTGCATTCTTTTGAATGTGGATATCCAGTTGTCCCCAGATCACTTATTGAAGAGACCATCCCTCCCTATTGTGTGTCCTGGTAACTTTGTTGAGACTCGACCAACTGTAGGCCATTATTTCCTTCTGGGCCCTCTTCTGTTCTTCTTCTGCACTTGTTTTTGTGATCTCCAACTTATGTTAAGAGACCGATTTTCCACTCATGGCTGGCATAGGGACGTGGCAAAACAGGGCCCAGGGTGGCAGGAGGCTGAGGTTCAGAACAGGGGACACGTAGAGCTGGCCGAGTGGATGAAAGGCCAGACAGGAACTTGGGGAGCGGAACTCCAGAAGAGCACTGCTGCGATGGGTGGGGAGGGTCAGGCGCCACCCCCGACGGTGAAACCAGAAGTGGGGGGCTGGAGACCAGAGAGGTTGAGACAGAGAGACAGGCGGAAAGAGACAGGGAGAGGCAGGACCGGCACCACTACCAGAGACAGAGAAGCTGGTGGGTCAGGCACACACCTGTGATCCCAGCACCTCGGGAGCTGAGGCAGGAGGCCACAAGTTCAAGGCCAGCCTGGGCAACCTAGCCAGACTCTTTCCAAAAGTATAAAGGCCTAGGGGTGCAGCTCATTGGTAAAGTGCTGCTGGGCTGCATCCCAGTACTGGAAAGTGAGAGCGAGGAGGAGAGGGATATAAAGAGAGAGAGAGACAGAGGAAGGGAGCAGGGAGACAGAGGGACAGAGACAGACAGAGGTGCAGTCAGAGGAACCAAGAGGTGGACAAAGACAGAGAAAACCCAAGAGCTGGAGAGGGACAGACATGGGGAGGAGAGGGAGAGGGAGGGACGCTGGGAGAGAGCCGGGGAGATGGAAATGACCAGGGAACTCAACACAGGCAGTTTGCTTTGGGCAGCGGCTTCTCGATTGAAGGAGGCCTGTCACCTTGTGGGAAGCAGCTTAGCGGCTGGAGGGACTGGAATTGTCCTAATTCACTTGGAACCTCAGAGGCTCAGGGCTGGGGCCATGGGGTACATCCTCACTCCCTGGGGGAGGCCCCGCTGCTGACCTGATCGGGTGGCTTCCCTGCACCTGCTGTTGACTGGGGGGGTTTCTGGGCAAGGAAGGCCTGTGGCCCACAGCTGCCCCGGCACCTCGCCCCACCAGGAGCAGAGAAGTCTCTTCCTGACGGGGAAGGGCCAGACTTGGCCTTTCCTGGTGGGTGGGCAGCAGGGTGAGCCCTGCACCAGCCTGGCCCTGGGCCGTGTGCCAGTAGGCTGGCCGGGTCTGCCCCCCCCGTTTCCTAGACCTCACTGGCAGGGCCAGGCAGCTGGAGCAGCTGGAGTCGGAGGCCCCAGCCTCCCGGTCACGCTCTGAGGCGCACTTTCACATTAGGTTCCTGTTCACTAGGTGGCAGGGCCCAGTTTCTCCTGACTCTGCCAATTCAAGGCCCAAATGTCCGGGGATGGTTCCTCCTGCCTGACAAGACCTCTGTATCCTGATAGGTGGGAACTCACCATCGGGAGTTAGCTTCCTTGCTCCTGGGTTGCCTGAAACCACTGTCTATGACAGAGAGGCAGACAGAGGAGAGGATGGAGGAGCCAGGGCCCACGGAGGCCCGAGACAGAGACGCCCAGAGGGAAGAGAGGTTGTAGAGGTGGACAGAGACAAGGCATGGGGAGGGGCTCACACCAGAGGTGGGAGAGAGGCCCCAGGGAGACCACCCAGTGGTGTCCGACAGCCTCTCTCAGGGAAGGTTGTAGAAGTCCTCTAAGTGCTTCAGGACCAAGGCTCCGCTGGATGTTTTGGGTCTTTAAAGAAGACTGATTCTTTTTCAGTCAACAGAGACACAAAAAGGGCTGAGCCTAGAAGCTTCTGGAGACAAAAGATTCTAGCTGGGATGTAGTTAGTGTTTACTTAGTATTCAGGGAAGAGGAGGCCTTCTGTTAGCAGATACCATTATTGTTTTTCCTTTAAAGACAGGAACGTAAACTTCCCTTTTAAAACACATTCATTTATATTTTTTAAACGATTTCAAAAGGAGGAGAATACTAAGTAAATAATAGTACAGGTGCTTTGCTGTTTGGTAAGATTCATGAATATGGTTGTCGAGGTCTGGAGTTTGGTAAACAGCGGCCTTGTCTAGGCCTAGCTGAGACACCAGCTCTCTGGAATCCAGTCCTGACCCCTGCTCACCTTGGCGATCCCAGAGCCCACGGTTTTTAAACCCACCCACCCAGTTCCCGACTCCGCCCAGTTCCTGACGCCATCCAGTTCCCCAAACTCCGCCCAGTTCCTGGCTCCACCCAGTTCCTCAGACTCCCCCCAGTTCCCCAGACTCCCCCCAGTTCCCGACTCCGCCCAGTTCCTGGCTCCACCCAATTCCCCAGACTCCGCCCAATTCCGACTCCACCCTGTTCCCAACTCTGCCCAGTTCCTAACCCCACCCAGTTCCTAACTCCACCCAGTTCCTAACTCCACCCAGTTCCTAACTCCACCCAGTTCTGACTCCACCCAGTTCCCCAGACTCCGCCCAATTCCGACTCCACCCAGTTCCCAACTCTGCCCAGTTCCTAACCCCACCCAGTTCCTAACTCCACCCAGTTCCCCAGACTCCGCCCAATTCCGACTCCACCCACCCAGTTCCCAACTCCACCCAGTTCCCAACTCCACCCAGTTCCCCAGACTCCGCCCAATTCCGACTCCACCCACCCAGTTCCTAACTTCACCCAGTTCCCAACTCCACCCAGTTCCTAACTCCACCCAGTTCCCAACTCCGCCCAGTTCCTAACTCCACCCAGTTCCCAACTCAGCCCAGTTCCCAACTCCGCCTACTTCCCGGACTCCACCCAGTTCCTGACTCCACCCAGTTCCTGACTCCCCCCAGTTCCTGACTCCACCCAGTTCCTAACTCCCCCCAGTTCCTGACTCCCCCCAGTTCCTGACTCCGCCCATCCTAACTCCGCCTAGTTCCCGACTCCACCCAGTTCCCAACTCCACCCAGTTCCTGACTCCGCCCATCCTAACTCCACCCAGTTCCCGACTCCACCCAGTTCCCAACTCCACCCAGTTCCTGACTCCGCCCATCCTAACTCCCCCCAGTTCCTGACTCCACCCAGTTCCTGACTCCGCCCATCCTAACTCCGCCTAGTTTCCGACTCCACCCAGTTCCCAACTCCACCCAGTTCCTGACTCTGCCCATCCTAACTCCACCCAGTTCCCGACTCCACCCAGTTCCTGACTCCGCCCATCCTAACTCCACCCAGTTCCCAACTCCACCCAAGCTATTACCTCACCCATTCCTAGACTGCACCTCTGACTCCGCCCAGTACATTGCCTCACCTAGTCCTGACTGTACCCTGACTCCTCCCAGTTTCTGGCTCCACCCAGTCCATGACCTCATCCAATCCCAGACAGCTGCCAGTCCTTGACTCCACCCAGTTCATGACCCCACCCAGTTCCCTAACTCCTCCCACTCCTAACTGGCACTGACTTAATGAGCCTCACTAGTCCCTCAAACCTGGGCATTTCTAGCGTCTCTGCGTTCGCCCATGTCGTCTCCTCAGCTGGGAGTTCTCGTCCCCAGTGTAACTTTGTTCATGATGTCTTCTGTTTGTTATGGAAACCCTACTCAGACCCTTCTCAGGCAGCCCTTCCCTTATCCTAGAATTAATGGTTTCCTCCTTTGGGTTACTTTGTATCCTTTTAAGACTCTCACCATTGCTCTGACCAATCTGTGCCGTATTTTTTACTCTATTTGTTCTATTTTTTACTCTATTTTACAAATCTCAGCCACTTGAAGGCAGTGACCAAGTCTTACTTATGACCTATCCCTTTGTGCTCAGCAGTCATTCACAATAATCTGAGAAGTAGTTTGACTTGATACAGGTTTTGTCCGAAGTATGAATTAGTATCTTCTAAGTTAGTTCCACAAACTACAGCTGGAGGGAGGAATCCAACCCACCATCTGTTCTTATAAATAAAGTTTTACTGAAAGGAATCCATGCCCATTCATTCACATATAACCTGTGACTGCTTTGGGGCATGGTTGTAACAGGGACCATATGACACACTAAGCCTAAAATGTTGGCAGTCCACCCTCTTACAGTTCATGCCTTCCGTTCCCATTCTAAAAGACAGCAGCTCTGATTGGATTCAGGGGACTTGTAGTAGGGGTGGCTTTGGGTACACGGTGGGAACCTCAACGTGGGAAGAAGGCTGAGAAGCCACTGGGTGTGGACAGACCCTTCCTGGGAGTCCAGGGACTTGGCTTGCTGCCTGTTCTCTGGATTCCCCTGCTGTGTGACCTTGGGTGGTGACTCTGGGTAAGTGCCTGGCCCAGGACACATCCTTCCTCCCTGCAGGGATAACCGAGATGCTCAGCACGCCCTGGAGGGAGACATCGAGGACAAAAACTCTGCCGAGTGTATTGACAGTGCTTTAACCTGAGGAGCACGTCGGACTGCATCTCCTTCTTCCATGGCATGGAGAAGTGTGACGGCAAGTAAGTACTGGACTCTGCCTCCATTCTGGGCCGTCTGTGGGACCAAGGGCCTTGGCTTCTGCCATGGCACCATAAAGGAGTATCGTGTGCCAGCCAAGGAGAGGCAGTGTGATTGAATGGGAACCCGCTGTTGCAAGCAGCAGAATCGAAGTCTGGCCAACTTAGGATGAAATAGAATTAACTGAAACCTGCAGCAGGGTCACAGAGACAAGGGCAAGTTTCTGGCCGTTTGGCAGGAGTGGGAGCTATTCAGTTGGATTGTCAGAGGGTGGCCATCTTTCCACCCCTGGCCCACCTTGTCCAAGATCCAAATTCCAGAAAGAAAGAGCATGTGGTTGACTTAGTGAGGGTCACAGAGCCTCTGCTGCTCTGCCAGGGCACCCTGGGGTGCCTCTCTTGGCCATCCCGCCAGACAAATTCCAAAGCAAAAGGGCTGTCACCAGCAGGAGCAGGCAACCCCGCTTGGTGGGGAGAGTCAGTGACGCCTGGAGGGTGGATGCCAGGACAAGGCTGCCTGGCTTTAAGTCCCAGCCTCCATGCTGACACTTTGGACTCCATTTCTGCACCTGTATCACCCAGGGTACCCGCTCCCCAGGGCTGCTGTGTGTACTGAAAGGGGGCATGGGACGTCGTAAGCACAGAGACTGGTGTGGATGATAATGGCGACCGTTATCAGAGCTTGCTTTGTATCCTCATTTTCTTGTCCTGGCAGCAATGAGGTAGGTGCCTTTCGTACGCCTGGCACTATCAGGGGCATGTCACCGCCTCGTGGAGGGTCATGTAGAATTTCCCGTCTGAGCTCTGGGGCCATGAGTGCTGGCAGAGATGCGCTGGCGGAGGGCGGGCGCTCTCTTGGTCTCGCCCGCACTCCTTCTCTTCACCTCCAGCGCACAGGCTTGCTCTTGGCACGTGCAGGTGAGCATGTGTTGAATGCAAGGAGGAAGGGGGAGGGAGGGGAGAGCAGGAAAGGGGAGAAGAATTGTAAGCCATCTGCGGCCCAGGTCTGGGCTGGCTTTCTGGATCTTTGCAAACATGGCGGTGTCGCGGTGACTCTGGATTCATAGCTGCGGCAGCTCCCAGGGAAGCCGCCTCCTCTTCCCGACGACGGGGAGTCCCCCAGGCACTGGAAGGCTGAGCAGGACTTGGGGGCTCGGCCACCCTTGGCCACAGCTGCCCGTCTGCACAGGAAGTCCAAAGGGTCCCTCTTTACAAACAGATGCCTCCCCCAAACCTGGCGGCAGCTGGCTGCTGGGGCGTCTGGCCTCCAAGTCCAGGAGGGGCGGCTGTTTAAAGTCCCTCATCCAGCTGGAAAGCGAGGGCTGCTGTTTGGGTGACTAATTGCTTCCCAGATGTGCTGGCTCAGGGCTTTGCATTGGAGTTTTCTTAAGCAGGGCCACATCTGGGCAGACTGAGGAGGTGTGGTTGGTGACTGGATCACAGTGTGCCTGTTCATTGCTGTGGATCAACTCATGAATATGGTGGTGATGGGGGCAGCAGAGGCCTCTTTCTGATGTCGGCCATGTGCTAGATGGTGCACAGAGTTTACATGCAGCTCTTGTGAGTAATGAAGAGTCACTTATTTTGTGTACGGTGCCCTGATAAGTATTTCACATTTAGTCACTCAAGAACCCTGGGGGGATAGGTACCGTTATTATCCCCATTTCACAATGAGTAAACAAAGGCTCAGAGAGGTGAAGTGACTGTCATAAGCTTGCACAGCAAGTGGCAGAGCTGTTGACCTCAGCCCACACTGGACATCGCGTGGTTGTTTGATCAATGGATCTTCCTGCCTCTGCAGCAAAGTTGCTGTCCCTCCAGTCTCCAGAGGGCACGGGCTCTGGGACAGTACATCCTCCCTACTGAGGCTCATGACTTGCCAGGCACGCAGGCTGCCTTTGGTAGATGCCCCTGGGGAGAATGTGATTAAGCGGCTGTTTTCTCTGGGGAGCTCAGCTGTCTGCTCCAGGGGAGGGCAAGGCTTAGAGGTTGCTGTTGGTGTCACGACAGTCCCGCTCAGCAGTGGCGGGTCCACCCAGAGTGTACTTGCAGGTCTCATCTGCTGTGCTCAGCCTCCTCTCCTTCGGCAGTGTCTTGGGGATGGTGATTACAGATGACCTTGGAGAAGACACTTCTCTCTGAGCCTCTGCTTGTGGCTGGGCTCTGGGCCAGGCAGAGGAACCCCGTGTGGTGGCACTCACCTGTGACCCCAGAGACCTGGGAGGGAGAGGCTGGAGGGTTGCAAGTTCAAGGCCAGCCTCAGCAACTTAAGTGAGGCCCTGTCTCAGAATCAGAAATAGAATGGGCTGGAGATGTAGCTCAAGGTGAGAGCGTGCCAGGTGCAGGGCCCTGGTTCAATCCCTGTGACCACCCCCCACCCCGGAAAAAAGAAAAGAGAGGAGAGCCCGCGGAGCCATCGCTCACACGTGGGACTTCTAGAAATTCTGTTCCCCACACCTCAGCGTGCTTTAGCGTTTCTGAGAAGAAACATATTTCCCATTTCAGAGAAGTAGACTCCTTTTCTCCTGCTGCCTGAGAATAAAAGTCAGCTTCCTATAAGAAGTGGCATCCTCCCAGGCTAGACAGGACTTGAGAAGTTATGTGGTCTGGTGTAGCCACCGTGAAGCCAGCTCAGAGAAGTGCGTGTCCCCCCTGGAGGTCCCCCCAGAGCAGGGAACCCCAAATGGTCCTGGGGTTGCTTGTTGCAGAAGAACTTTGACTAAACCATGTGAGTCCTCAGGCGGGCGGCACCACCTCCGTGAAGCCTTCCCTGCCTGTGACGGTCCCCCCTGGCTCCCCAGATCCGTTCCCCAGCTGCCCTGCTGGGCTGCCCTCTGCGGCCACCTTTCCTGGGTGCTCTGCCCTTCACTTTCTGCTGGGCTCATCCAGGAGGAGGGGCACCTCTGGAAGACACCCCCCAGAGGAGAGGGGCTGTGATTCTCCCTCGTCCCCAGGGACTGGGCACCTCCAGGGCTGCGCCTCTCCCTGGCTCTTGGACACCTACTGCTCCCCTCTCGCCCCTCACAGCTGGGGTGCATTTGGGAATCCATGGCACCTCAACTTCTGGCTGAGTGTGGTGGTTGCCCCCATCCTCAGGGGTACATTCTGAGACTCCCGGTGGATGCCTGAAGCCATGGATAGCACCAGGCCCCATGTGGATTGCGTCTCTTCCTAGACACACATCCCTGTGACGAGTTAGCGTATAAATTAGGCCCCGGAAGCTATTGACCACAGTAGCCAATTACATAGGATAATCGTAACAATGTAGCCAAAGGTATTTGGAAGTTACCGATCATTCATTTCCGGAGTTTTCCATGTGATACTCTCAGACCTCGGTCGTCACATAGCGACCACAGCAGAGAGCAATCTGTGGCTAGGGGGTGGGAGGCTGCTGTGCCCTGCACCCTTCACCACCGACACGCGAGGACACGCCATCGCTTCTCCTTCCTGCTCCTGGTTCCGGCCTCCCCGTGACTCTGTGGAAGTACCTCCTCTGAGGACAGGGACGCTGCTCTTCTTGCTCACAGCTCCGTCTCAAGTGCCTAGGCAGTGTTGGCACATGGGGGAATTCCAGACCCTCAGTTGGGCGGGGCTGCAGCCGGTGGTGGAGACGCCTTAGCATGCTGGAGGCCCGAGGTGTGATCCCAGTACTGCAGAACCAGGCCACCCCACCCCCAGCAAAACACCCATGGGGGGCGAAGAAGCCATGGAGAGTAGCATGGGCGCCGCCGGAGGGACAGAGTCTCCACCGCACCCCAGTGCCTGCTTCTTGGCCTGGCTCTGTTTGGGATGGTACTGAGGGGACAAGGAAGCGCTCTGTAAGGGGCCTCTCTTCTCCTACCAGCCGGCTGAGCGCCCTCCTGCTAGCTGCAGTTGCAGCCTTTGTTAAAGGAGGGATTGGATCAGGACATTTGTGTCCCCTCCCCTAGGGGACGTTTGTGGTTTTCATAACTGGGTGTGTGGAGGGGCTGCTGGCATCCCGTTGGTGGGGCCAGGGAGGCTGCTGGACCTTCTACAACAAAGACTCTTGACCTGAAGGACCAGGTTGAGAACCCCGGGCACAGGGTCACCCCTGTCACCCCTGTGCGAAACTTATCCTGGTGCCTTTTGCAGGATTTCCGTGCCTGATACCTGGGCCAAGTTCAGCAACGACAACATCAGGCACTCTCAGAACATGCGGGCCAACTCCATCCGGCTGCGGGAGGAGGCAGAGCACCTCCTCGAGAGCTTGTCCGACCAGCTGTGGAAGCAGTTCAGGGACACCAACCTGGCCTTCAACGCCCGCATCGCCGAGGAGACGGAGGCGAAGAACAAGCTGCAGACACAGCTGGCTAAGGTGGGCTGGTGCGTCCGAGGAGCTCTGTCCCCTGCTGAGCCTTCGCCGTCCTCCAGTGGGTCTCGGCTGCACCTGGGAGTTGAGCCCACCCTAGTTTGAAATGGTCCCCCCACCGTCTAAGTCTTGTCCACCTCAAATGGGGACAGGGGCTGTGAGCTTCCTGGGGAGCGTGAGCACCCCTTGATCACTGATCATGGAGCTTGGCCTGGCTGTCACCACGGCCCCCGAGAGGCTGCTGATGGCTCCCAGTGCCCTTCCTCCTCCACGGGAGGACCACGGGACTCAGCGTGACCGGGGGCCTGGAACTCGTTGTCCTTGCTGGTCCCAGCCCATCTCTGCCTACCTCAGCATCTTTGGAAATGTAGGCTTTGCCTTCAAGGGTCTGCAACAGCCTGACGATCCTTGCTGGGGACTGCCAAGTTCTGCCCTCCACCTCCTCCTGTCCCCATGTCAACACCCCCCCACACTCTCTTATGGGTCTGTGTCACGCCCTTTGCACCTCTGGGGTCACCCAGGGAGTCTCACTGCAGGGCCTTCAGCCACCCTACTCAGCCTAAGTGCAGAGAGCCTCCCGGCTGCCAGAGGCCACCATGGACAGTGGCAATGAAAGAGGACCTCACAGGGTCCCTGTCCCCTCCGTTCTGGTTGGAGAGCGGTGGTGGCTGTGAAATTTACACAGGAGGGACTTGGGGACAGCAGTGTGTTTGGAGGGGTGGGAGCCCAGGGGCTGGCCTTGGTCTGTGTTGGCTGACGACGCCCCTTTTGATTGTTTGTTGGGGGAGGTTCTGTGGGCGCAGGCGGGGTTTGATGGAAATGACGGGGCAGTGTTCGCCCACCCACATCTGCTGCTGCTTGGCCGGGTGCAGGAGGCAGACAAAACAGAAGCTGGTGATTAAGGTGCGATCCGATCCGTGTGAGGAGGAAGCAGCGAGGGGTGAGTCAGAGAGGCTGGGGGCTGTGCAAGGGAGGGGCGCAGAAGGGCAAGTGACCTTCACGTCGAGAACAGATGCAGAGCCCAAGGGTGGAGGGCAGAGTGCTCTGGAGGGACAGCACCAAGGGCCAGGCATCGGGGACGAAGCCGGGGGAGGGGCTAGTAGGTCCTGCTGGAGGGTGGGGAGTTTATCTGGAGAGACTGGCCATCGTGGTGACCCTTTTCAGCTCTGCAGGTCACCTGGTGGCCGTCACAACCACTCAGTTCTGCTGACGAACGGAAAAGTAGCCACGTACAATATGTGCACAGATAAGTGTGTCTGTGGTCTGATAACACTTTATTTACACAGCCAGGCCCACGGCTTGTAACGTAGTCAAGCCCTGCTCCGGACCTTAGTTTGAAGTCACTCCCTTTTTGGGAATCCTCCACATCCCCTCAGATTTTGTAGTCACCGCCTCTGTGTCCTGGGACCATGTCGATCATCGCTTCACCCTGTTCCACGTGATGACAAGTGTGCCCTCCGAGCCCGGCCGCTTGGGTGTGAGTCCTCCGTAACCTTGGATGACTTCCGGAGCCTTTCTGTGCCCCAGTCCCTTACCTGTACAATGGGGATAAGGGTGATGCCAACCTTGGGGGTTTGAGGTCAAGCAGGTAACTGCTTGCCCCACACCTGGTGCACCTGGGGCTGGGCATGGTCAGTCGTTTTACCCTTCATGTGATCTCCTTCAGGCATCCTGCTTCAACCTGTCCCTCCCTGCTAGTGTCTGCCTGGTCTCCTGAGATCTTTGTGCAATGGATGAAGAGGGACCACAACATTGAGTTTTGTGTGTGTGTGTGTGTGTGTGTACTTGGATAGTGCGTGAATGACTGAATGCTTTTAATATCAAGTTTCTTTTGTGCAAAAAAACCCCTTTATTTGACAAAATATGTACAGCCTAAAATGTACCCTTCTAACCATTTTTAAGCGTGCTGTTCAGTGGTCATAGGTACATACCTGTTGTACAGCCGTGGCCACCGTCCGTCTCGGGAAATTTTCCTCTTCTCAAACTGAAATTCCATACCCATTTCACAGTGATTCCTCTTTCCCCTTTGTCAGTGAATCAGTCTACTCTAGGTCCCTCTTTTAGTGGGATCATGGGTATTTATCTTTCTGCGACTGGCTTATTTCACTTAGCTTAATGGTTTCAAGGTTCATGCACAAGTGCCAGACTTTCTTCCTTTTTAAGGCACAGTGACCTTCCCCTGTCTGTGGAGACCACATTTTGTTTATCCATTCGTCCTTCTGTGGACACCTAGATTCTTCCGTCTTGCGGCTCCCAAGCAAGTGCTTTTCTCCTGAGGCATTCTTCAGGGTGGGACAAACCCTGCTCCCTGTCACGGTTCACCTCGTGGACTTGGCAGTCTGAGGATGACTTGGGAAGGGTCCAGAGTAAGGGTCCCTACCTGGTTACAGCCTCTGTTTCTGGGGTATGGATGAGTGGTTTCTGTGGCCTTCTTAGAACAGCCCTTGGTATGCGGTGAGTGATCCGTTGGAGGGGATTGTGAGTATTACTAGTAGTACTGACGGAGAGGAGAAGAACCTTTGGGTGGGGGTGGTTGAAACCTTTCCCTTTCAAAATGTCTGCAGGGAAGCTTTATTGCTAACAACTCCACCACTGCTGATCAGAGAGATTTTGCAACCTCATAGATTTTTATTAATAGTCATTATTTAGTCACCAGCCAGCACCATATGGAACATACCAGACTGCAATATGACACTGTTGACATTTGCCTGAGCAAGGGTCTGTCTTCTGGTTGGTGACTAGTTCATAGGGTGGTTTTCGAAGACGATAAAAGAAGAGATTGATGCGATGAAGTAAAATATATAGCAACCATCTCACCTTTCAATAGTCTGCTCAGCTAGAGGATTCGAAATGCTCCTTTGAAGCTTTAACTCTTGGGTGGGGGATATGGCTCAGTGGGTGGAATGCCTCCCTCCGAGGCACAAGGCCCTGGGCTCAATCCCCAGCACCACCAAAAAAATAGAATGAAATTAACTGTTATTGATTGAGCTCAGCCTGGTTCCCTTTGGCAAGAGGCTCCTATGGAAAATTCCAGCCTCGTGTATGATGCAAAGTAATTATTTTCCCAGGGATCATTGGAATGCACTTTGTTAAGGTCTACACAGCTCCCCATGCAGGCAGTGGTCTGAGGCAGTGTAGACAGGCTCATTTGTTCACTGGGATCCTGGAATTTCATCCCTGAGGTCACACCCCAAACTCTGCCACTTGCCCTGGGTCTCACCCTTGCAGGAGCACAGCAAGGCTCTGGGGCAGCTCCTGGTCATCTGGCTCCCACTCGAAGAGGGGCCGGAGATGGCTCTGGACTGAACTGGCTGCTGGCCAGAGGGGGAGCAGGCTGCTGCCTTGGGGGACTGAGTCCGCCGCCAGCCAGGGCCATTGGAACCCTGAGATAAGCAAGCCCCGCTTACATCCAGTTACCAGTTGAGTGTGTTTGGGGGGAACTCGTAATGTGGGGGAAAGTGCCTCTTGTGGGAGGCTGTCTGGGGGACAATGCTGTAGAAAGTGCCCACAGGTGTGGGGACCGGCTGGGCACAGTGGTGCACACCTGTCATGGTGCATATGCTTGTCACCCCAGTGACTCGGGAGGCTGAGGAAACAGGATTGCAAATTTGAGGCCAGCCTTGCCAACTTAGGGAGACCCTCAGTAACTTAGCAAAAAATAAATAATATATATATATATATATATGAATGGGCTGTAAAGGTCCGTGGTAAAGCGCCCTTGGGTTCAATCCCTAGTGTACACACACACACACACACACACACACACACACACTCACACACACGGACACCTCTTCCTGGCAGGTAAAATGACATGGAATGCATCACACACGGAAATTAAGGGCACCAAGTCGAACAGTGAGAAAGTCCTCCTCCTCCAGTCCTTTTGAGGCCTCCAGGTCTAGGATGGCTTCTCACTTCTGGAACATCCCGTCCCCCGTGCACATCCGGGCAGCCTCGAGCTGAGAACTTGGGGCGGAGTCAGTGTCCAGCCAGGGTTAAATAACGTATTTCCACTTATGTCTTATGTCATGCATTTTCTAAATGATTTTTTTTCCACTTATAGCGAATGATGCTTGATTTTTTTCCATGGACAATAGTGATATAAAGTTTCATTTCAAAATACACGTGGTTAAGATTTGTTTTTCTTTTCTTTTAAAAATGAATTGGTTTGAGCCACTGTGGCGTGGGGATATGGCAGAGAGGGTGGGAACCGTAGGCAAAGCAGGACTCGGGCCAGAGAGTGAGTGGTCCCTGTGCTTCCACTGTCACTGTGTGCGCGGTAATCCTCAGGTCACCTGGGGACTTTGTTAAGAGGCACAGTCTGGTTGAGCGGGTCGCAGCGGCCTGAGAATCTGCATTCTGAGCACGTTCCCTGGGGACACCAAAGCTCCTGTAGGCAGCATCAAGAGCGTAGATGGTGAGAAGTGTTGGCTTTGACAACATCTGGATCAGCAGCTGTTCCCTCCCCCCTACCTCCTTCCCTCCCCCCTTCCTCCTCCCCCTCCCTCCCCTCCCTCCCCCTTCCCCTCCTCCCCCCTCCCTCCCTCCCTCCCCCTCCCTCCCCCTCCCTCCCCTCCCTCCCCCTTCCCCCCTCCCCCTCACTCCCTCCCCTCCCCCCTCCCTCCCTCCCTCCCTCCCTCTCTCCTCCTCTTTCCCAGACTCAGAATCTTGGAGGAACCAAGTCTTCCCCAAAGGCCAGCCTCAGCTGTTTTAATCCTAATCAGATTTTCTTTGATTGCACTTGGTTCCAGGCTCACAAACCAGGCGTAGTCCCTCCTCCCTGGAGGGGTCAGGTCAGGTCATCCCGTCCCGTCATCATCCCAATTTGTGCAGATGTCGATGCTTCTCCAGGGTTTCTGTCACCCCTGGGTGGACAGCACAAGCCCTTAAGTCAAAACCTCATTTTCCTGTTACACGGGTCACAGCCATGACCTGAGGAGCTGGGGGACCATGCTGAGCCAGACACACCAGGAACCCGTCTTGAGGTCCTCGAAGCGATACGTCCA